CTATTCATTAAAATTATAAATCTAATTTTTAAAGCGAAATAAGTTTCTTAGGAATCTAAAATTTTCAAAGATGCACAGCCGGTCTCATCGAATTTTAATCATAATGCAGTATACTTTTTGTAGAAAGCAACTGAATTAGATTTTATATGTTTTTTACAGCAATCTATCATATACGTATATGCCACTTAGAGAGATTTTGCCTATGAATACGCTAAGAGACTTATTAATCGTTGTAATTTTACCGTTATGAATACTGCCATCTATCGATATTTACAGAATCTATCCAAGAGTTTAATAATTTTAATTTTCTTGTGTGAAACTGATAAAATGATGTGTCAATATATAAACTAATACTAGAAAACGAAATATCTAAGGCTTTTCTTCTTGAAAAAAAATCTGATTATGTCGTTTTTAATAAGGCTTTAACTACGAATAAATTGTGACACCGATCAGGTACATAGATCAAAATCATCAACACTTATTATTAGAAAAAACGTAATTACCATATTAAAGAAATCTTTGAATATGTTGCCAAAATAAATCAGATTTTGAAGTACATGAGACCTTGAAATAAATTTTTTCGTCGAAATCTTAGCTGTAAACTTTTCATTAAACTCCAAATCACACTTCTTGGCTTCATTTAGTTTTCATAGAAATGGTTGTCATTTACTTTCTAAATTTGATAGTTCAGCAACACTTATCCATAGAATAGAACATCATGGTTTAGAAAAATGTCGAACCAGTTAAACATTTGAATTTAATATGTTATGAAATAATCGTGCTATATATATATATATATATTCTTACAGTACACATACCAATCTTCTTCTTCTTCGATCGTCTATAGACTTTTCTAAGGTCTCTTCCGTTTTTTTTTCAAGGTGGCTTGTTTGTTGTTGCCGACAGAAAAGAGCATAGTTAAGTATTTGACATCATGCCATTACAATTATTTTCAAAAATCATCAACGAACAAGAAAAAACGCCTTTCTTTCTACTGAAAATGTACAACAGCCAAATTGAGTCAACAATTACAACAGTAAGAATATAACGGAGTCGAAAAGGAGACCTAAACAAGCTACTAGTTATGATCTAACAAAAGAAACTGATTTAAACAATGAATAACCCATAAGGAACACTTGATCATTTTTCTATTAAATAATCATAGCGGTTAGTAATACTGATTAATCGTTGATGACTGATTTTCATAAAGAGATTTTTCTCAACCCATTCGATAAATCATTTCTAACTGAGAAAAAAACATCATCTTGGTTACAGTGTTTGATCTAGTCATTAAGAAATCCTTTCATTGGATAGGCGCAATCTAAAAATTTCGAAACTCAGTCTGTAGAATAAACTGAATAAAATAACGACGATACATCATGATAAGAAACAACATAAAACAAATAAACTTATAGTTCAGGTGTTTAAATAGCAGTTTTTAACGCCCTAAGCATCTATTAATGTTAATTGAGTTTCGCCTTCCGTAGATAATGTGCTGAGTACAATGCATAATACGAAATTAATGATTAGACGTCTATTGTTGTTGTTCTATATTTTCTCTCTCTCTCTCTTTCTCTAACGATCGTCTGTTTCTCTGAGTGATTTAAATGAAAGAATTGATAAAATAATGTTTCTGAATACAGTACCAATATCTTTATTACAACAATAGTACAGTAAGATCCATCACATCAGATTTCTTGTTCTTGTCAAAGAATGGCTTCGGTTATTCCAATGACCATTTAGTAGATAATGGGCATTGAATGACATGTGAAGCCTTTATATTTATTTTTCTTTCATGACAATATTGAATGGGTAAAAGCAGCTTATATCTCATCGCATTATAGTATAGAAAAATGGAAGAGTGAATACATAGAAACTAATTCTGAAACAATACATGTGTTTTTTATTCATATTGTCAAATAGCCATCGATTTTTTCGTCGTAACATTGTATAACCAATGAAGATATTTCATCCATACTAAATATTATTTCAGCATCTCAGATTATGAGATTGAGAATAGATGCAGTAACTTTATTCTTCATGTTTCTCTCTCTCTCTCGTGCTGACAAATAATTACATTGCGTTCATGCGCACCTTATTGTATGTTATTCGCAAATTTGTCCTAACATTTTCATACTTTTATTAATTAGCAGTATAGACTTCTTTCTCAATCTATTTGACAATATAAATTTCGATGATTTATACTGTATAAAGGTAAAAAGAAATTCATTTGCATTTGCATTTCTATACAATCATCGCTCATGGTAAGGATTGACATTTCGATGATAGAGATATGCAACGAAATCTGCTTTTGTACCTAATTCATAAATCATGAAGTTTATCAGAAGATATATCCTATACTTTTTTTTTTATAAAATGCTGTAATCAAGATAATAATTTTTTTTCTTTTTTCCATGATAATTAAGAAAAAACACCTTATACATATTTCAAAGTATAATAATCTTGTGTAAATAAATATATATATATTAGTTGAAGTAATTCTTGAAATTAGAGTTCAATTAATCGATTCTCTAGACTTTTTATCTAGAAAAATCAATATCTTTTAGTATACACTGATCATTTTATATTAATAATATTATGAAAAAAATATTTTTATCTTCAGTTGATTAATTCTTCACAAGAAAAAATGATTAAAAATTAAATTATTTATGAAAAAGTACAATGATTTGTAAATTGTAGTATAAGAAAACAAGATCATAGTGTAGTTGGCATAAACGAGACAGTTGTCTTGTTGTGTGCTATAGTTATAATAAAAGGACATGCAATATCCCACCAAGAAACACCAATAATTATCAATCATTATGATCGATTAATATTCACCATCTGGAGGAAAAGAAAAATGAGCAAGAGTTCGCTGTAGTCATATTTACACTTCCCCTTTTTTCTGTCTACTAAGAATCAGAGACAGATTATTAGTATTGTTTTATCGCATGTGTAATCAGTTTTACATCACTACGCACATTTACGTATGTCGTTTCTCTCTGTCTCATTGTATGCATCGATATGTAGATATGTCTACGAGGATACGCGTTTTTCCTTCTTCTTTACTAATATTTTTGTGATTCTTTTAGATCAAAGTATAACGCATTCATAAATGTATTATGGAGAAAATTATTCCTAAACCAAATCAATCCTATAGCTTAATCGTCACATCTATATTAGAATCTTCTATCAATGTTATAAAACAGGTTTGTCAGCGTTATTATTTTGTTATTTCAGTGTAATTTGTATCTCTTTCCGTTATCCTTCGACTAAAGAAATAAATACAACTTTATTTGGTTTTCGGATTGCTATTATTCGTTATCCAAGATCAAATTTTACAAATGTTTGCTTTTCTTTTTTTTTCTTCTCAAATAATTATATTTTATTCGTGATTCTGCTCAAGATACTATGAAATCTAGATAAACAAGCAGAATACTTATATATATGACGTAGATCATATGAAAAAAAGAAAATACAACCGTGAAAATCGATAAGTAGTCGAACGAAAAACTGTAGTAGAGAAGATCAATACAAAAGCAGTTAATCTGTAAGAAAAAATATAAGAATAAAGTAGTTGCTATCGGATTTTTCAACGCGTTAATCGTGGTATTGTATATAATAATGCTCGGTGATTTCATAAGGGTGTATGTTACATAAAAAAACAAGACAACATACTCATAGAATCATTCCTCTGAAAAAATCGAACATGTTGAATGAACGATCAAGTGATTTCTGTAAGTACATGTTTTATACGAACAAATATATCACTACAAATCGTATGACAACAGATAGCGATTTTGTGTTGTTTTTAGCAAATATCATGTTTATACGCTTACACTGTTTTTTTCTTTTTCTTCGAATACTAATATATATATATTTACCACACTACTGACAACACTTAACAATATTCTTATGTGATTGATAGCGCTTAGATTCTATGTGTATTATATATATGAAAAGATGGCAAAGATTACGCATAATTTTGTTAGGGAATGTTTCTCTATGACATAGATGTGATTGAAAATATTTGATTAAGAAAATGTTGTTGTTATGAGTTACTATGACGTCAAACACATTCGAAGAGATCATATGACAAGCAGTAGACACGTAACTCAGTCAATATCTACGAGAGAAAAAACTGCCCATTTAGAAAAGGAGGAAAGGATTAAATAAATGGAATAATAGTTGCTCACTTGGCGATTTGAATTAAATTATTCGTGTATGTTTAGAGGATAAGCAGGGAAAAGAAGGAAAATAAATTTTTGTTCCAACTTCATTCTTTACAGTTGTCAACTTAAAGTATAAACGATTATTGCTTTAGGCATCGTGCTGTGATTAAATTTTGCTTTTGAAATTCATATTCAATGCTACCTACTGCTTTTCATTTATTGATTGAACTTGAAGAGCTTCTCAACCAATGTGTGTACTTAGTTGCCCCAAGCAAGTATTCTGCATGTGCCCATTTGAATTCTTTTTCTCTTTTTCTCTTGCTTTTTATTCTAGTTTTTCTTTTTGCGTCTCCCCCTTGACAACGAAAAAAAATCTCGAATCATGATTTTCGTGGGTGTGAGCTGTGCGGAAATTCTAAGTTAATAATTAAAAAAAAATACAATTCACGTTTTTCTTTCTTTGATTTGATTCATTTTGTTTTCTTTTTTTCTTCTGTTTCTACTTTTCATCTACCACCGCCTACATATTAAGAAATTTATTGATTTTCTTTTTTATTGTACTCTAACACGCACGCATCATACTGTTAAATCATGATATAGTCTTGTGTATTAGTTCAATAAATACAATTGTCGATCAATAGTTATTATCTATAAATTTAATTTTCTATCCGTTTAATTTCTTCTATTCAGATTTTTTTTAAATTTGTACAAAATCCGTAGATACCCATCTATATTAGTATATGAAGCATTATCAGTATCAAGTATTGTTTATATATTCATTGACTTGAACACAACATCATTATCATTTATACAAATACCAATTATCTTATGCCTTTATCGAAAATATTTGAAATAATTGAAAATTTCTGGAGACCTGACCGCAACGAACAACAACAAGCTCGTAAATCGAATCATTTAAAGCGTAGTCGATCTGAAACAACAGAAACTTGCAATAATAATATCAACAATAATGTCAGTCATTCATCAGTAGCATTATTAGATGTGTCTGTTGTAAGTTTATTATTTAATTCTATTAAAACTTTCTTTTTACATTCATTCATTGATGGATTGATTTATAAGTTAAATCGTGAATTAACATTCATATACATATTCACATATCAAATACTTATTGCTTTATAATTTACATAACATGAACACACTCTCAGTCGATATAGAAGTGAAAAAGAAAAATGACGCTTTTTAACAACATCAAATTTGTTTAATTAAAATTTTTCTCTTTTTGACTTATACTTTTCAGTGAACGACATAGGCGCATATACGCAAAATCTTGCTGAGTTCAATGTTCTTTTTCATCTCTCTCTTTCTTTTGTTAGTTATGTCGGCTGCATTGTTTTCTTAAGCCGAAATAACTAATATTCGTTGTATTGGCTTTGGTCGCATGATCCTTTTGTGTACTTTGAAATAACAAACAGGACAGAAGTAGTACTATTCAATCAATGTGAATAAAAACGTGATTATCACATGAGAGTAGCTAATCGAAACCTGAAAAGAAAACAAACTAACAGAAGACTCTGTAAGATGAAGATACTTTATTAAGATATCTCTGCATTATATATTCTTCAAATAGAAATAAAAACTAGTAACATGAAAATCTTGTCTTCAAACGTTTATAGACAAGGTCAGTGAAGATTAGATTCAAAAAAGAAAAATATATATATACACATATAAAAAATACTTCTTAGTTTATTCGGTTACTCTTTATACATTCTTCGATTCAGTATCGAATTCCTTTGCAGATCATACCTCTTTTTTTTGTTGATGTCAGGTCCAATATTGATTTTCAGCAGAGAAAAGAAATGTTCTGTATTGACATGAAAGTTTATTCTTACGAACAAACTTTAAACGAAATTACTGTTTCTATGATAAATAAGACAGTGTTAAATCTGATGCTTTTGTCTTATATTCATAATTCTGCTTCAGTTACAACTGGAATAGAACAAATAAATCTTAGAAGACAAGACATAGAAACAACAATAACAAATAAAGAGTTTATTTCATGAAAAATATCAGTTATTTTTATTGTAATAACAAACTTGTGAACTATATCACTGAAGTAATTGCATACAATTATATCGACAAGAAATGTTAAAAGTATGATAACTATGAAATGTTATTGGTCTTGTCAGAGCATGACATGTTTGTATTTTCTTTTTTTTTCTCTTTTGAAAGAATACTTGAACAAACCAGAAAAAGAGGAACACGAGTGAGAAACACTTGAAAAATAAGTTGTAACATGGCAAAATCAATGTATACGCGATTTATTTTCGATGAGGTAATAATTTTCATTTTCTTCGTTTCCATCCATACCAATAAAGAGCAAAAAACAAGCCCTAGAAGAAAAAAATAAACTTTAGGAACAATCGACAATCTCGATAGAAAAATAGAATTTTCATTAATGCTTCGAATAGTAGGAGTTGATTCATCTATAAACTATTTTTTTTTTATGTGTTCTATTTAGAACCCAGAAAATAGTGGGTTACCAGTGAGAAAAGGATTTCGAACTTATCTTCCATCATCAAATAATAATCGTCTTACAAATAATATTCGTGGTCCATCGTGGTGGTTATCATTAATATTTCTACTTATATCTACTGTGATCGGTTTTCAATCTGGTCTTGTTATTCTATGCAATGTAAAACGTTGTATAACTGATGATGTATCTTCTCAACAAGAATCTAATAATTTACTTAATAATAATAGTCGAACAAATGCATTACTTGTTGCATCTGTTAATTTACCGCGTGTATTGAAAAAAAAACAATTAATACTTATTGCTGTTATGACAAGTAAAGATTTTCTAACAACACGTGCACCAACTGTTATGCGTACATGGGCAGAACGAGTACCTGGTCAAGTTATCTTTTTTTCAAGTGAAGGTTCAACAACAAATGATACACATATTAATCTTGTTAGTTTACCATCCGTTACAGATACCTATCCACCACAGAAAAAATCTTTTCTTATGATGAAATATATATATGACCATTATTTAAATAAATTTGAATGGTTTATGCGTGTTGATGATGATGTTTATATAAGAACTGAAAACTTGGAAAGACTACTTCGTTCAATAGATAATCGTAAGTTTTTGCTTTTAAACTATTTTTTTTTAGTGTCGTTTCTTTCAATTAATCTTTTTCGTATATTTTAGGAAAACCATATTACATAGGTCAACCAGGTATGGGAACGAAAGAAGAATATGGTAAATTAGGTTTAGGTGAAAATGAAAATTTTTGTATGGGAGGACCTGGTATTATATTATCTCGTGAAACATTAGCTCGTTTCACTCCACATATTAAAAAATGTTTAAAAAATTTTTATACTTATCATGAAGATGTTGAACTTGGCCGATGTGTACATAAGTATGCCAATACATCATGTACATGGTCATACGAAATGCAACATGTTTTGTATAATCATCCGAATAAAACTGATGGCTACCGAGCATCGAATCTTGTATCTACAGATATTTTACGTGCTGTTAGTCTTCATTCAATAAAAGATATACGTGTATTTACACGTGTACATAATTTTGCTTTACAACGAAAGATTATGGATGTCGAACAACGAAATATATTATTACGTCGTCAAATTGATGTTTATGATCAAATTCTTAATATACAAAATTTAATTAAACGTCAAGCAAAAAATCTGTCGAAATTAATACAGAAAACAAAAAATGAACAAATTAAAACAAAATTAAGACAACAATATAAAATATTAAATATGCCTGATCAACATATTGCTGAACAAATTATGTCATTATATAATAATACATTTCGATTATTTCTTAAGAATAATGAACAAGGTAGAGTTAGAAAATTTTAAAAATTCAAACAAAACTATAAAATCTTAATAAATTTTAGGTCATCATTTATGGAATGCTGTGCAAAAATATTTTAATCGATCTCTCACGTCCTTTCCATCGTCACACTTATCAAACTATTTAATTTTCCCCTATCCATTCGACAGTCGTCTATCTACGATTAAAAATAACAATAATCACGATTATTTAACACGTACAAAAACATTAAATAATTATCATAACAAGTTTTCACGTCAAAAATCGAATGATTCTTATGAAAAAATTGAACCTGGTACATATACATTCTTTACTGCTAGTCAGTATTCAGCAAATACAGAATTACCAGTGCGATCTATTGAACCAGCATATAAGCAATGTTTTGAAGAAGTCGTTCGAACATATATGGAAGAAGTGAATAAAGTTTCAAGAACTATGGGCCGACTTTTAGAATATAAAAAAACTTTATATGGTTATTATAAATTTGAACCAAGATATGGAACGAACTATATTTTGGATTTATTTCTTATCTATCGAAAATATTCTGGCAAGAAAATGTCGGTAAGTCATTTAAATTAAACATCAGTTGTCATAGTACTAAATAAATTTGATCTTGCTGTTTACAAGAAAGTTACCTTATTCTATAATCCTTTTTTGTTGTTGTCTTGTGAGATGTTTATTCCTCATCTTTTTGAATACATTCTAAAGATATGTATTCGATCCTAGATCATCAACGTTCGTGACGGTACCTATTTGTACCGAAATATATTTTAAAGCTCCTTTTAATATCATGCTTCATAAAATCAAAGAAAAAATAATGTTTAAATACAATTAATCATTTATAGAGTTTCAATTCTATTCTATTTTATTTTAATTTTTCTTATTTAGGTACCTGTACGAAAACGTGTTTATGTCGTGCAAAACTTTCGTCCTCTTTACTTTCGTGAATTATCAACAGCATATCCAAGTGCAATATTATCTCCTTTTGGAGCTGGTTCTCCTCGTCATGCTAATTTAACTTCACCGGTGACTACTAATATAAATACGATTACAACATCACCCACTGTGCCTATACATATGATTGTACCTGTTAGCGGACGTCTTCCTACGCTTAAACGATTGCTAATTAATTTTTATCAAGTTGTTGTACATAATAATGATACAGATCTTCTTAATATACATCTTCATGTTATTCTGATGGAAACAGCTGAAGATAGTGGTGAACGTATGTCGACATTAGCAGATTATATTAAAAAATTTATTGAAGATCATCAAACGTCACGTATACATTTAATTCAAGTTAACGAAAGAAACTTTACACGAGGCTATGCACGTTCATATGGTGCATCTCGTTTTAATGATACCGATCTTTTGTTTTTTATTGATCTTGATATGGTTTTTACTCGAGAATTATTTCCACGAATACGTCATCACACTATTCTTCATAAACAAGTCTACTTTCCAATTATATTTAGTCAATACGATCCAAATTACTGGGAAACACAATTATCACCCTCAAATTTTTCATCATTTTATTTTCGTGATGATACTGGTTATTGGCGTCAATATGGTTTTGGTATGCTCGGAATATATAAAGCAGATCTGAAACTAAGTGGCAATTGGAATGTTGAAATAAGTGGATGGGGAAAAGAAGATGTTGAAATTTATGATAAATTAGTTCAATCGCCAACTTTAAATGTTTTTCGAACCATCGATACAAGTCTAATGCATATATTTCATACAAAAGAATGTTCAACAACATTACGTGATGATCAAATGAAAATGTGTAGAGGAACTAAATCGATTACATTAGGATCACAGCGGACATTAGTGAGACATGTTCTAAAAATGATTGAGCTCAATAAAATCTGATATGTTGTTCTTGGTGTATTTCTTAGATTTTATTGTTTCATTCATTTCACACACACACACACACACACACACACACACACACATATATATACAGTGGTGTGCAAAAAAAATTGCCACTGTCCTTACGCATTTTCTCGAGTCATTTCTCTGAAGAATATGAACGAATTCTTCTGAAACTTTTATATGCAGTCAAGGATGTGCTATAGATTGCAGTGAGAGAGAGACTTCTAAAAAAAGTACCTTTGGATACGGTGAGAGACATCGTGATTCGAGTGTCCACAATTTTCCAGTGTATCAACCGATCGCATTACGCTACCGCGACTAAGGCAATCTTCGAACTGAGAAAACTATCTTCCTAAACAAGGCCTCTACCCATAGTATCTAACGAAATGCAAATAACCTCCAACCACACGGGACTTTAGAAATAAACGCGAGATCACGATATGTAGAACTCCTGCCACAAATAGCGTTCCCATCCGATTGTCGCACTATCTCGATAATGGCTTTTCCAACCGACTTGAAATTTTCAGAGTAGATAGTCTTCTGCTAGTAGATAAAATTTTGTTCGAAGTGAACAAGTCTCAAATGTAATCTTCTGCGTCAAATAGAGATCCCACGTTGAGAAGGTAGTGATGCATTTCTTTCGCACCTTAAAAATCGAGAAGGCATCGTATTGAGCTGAAACTTTGGCTACACGATCTTGACCCAAAAAGAGATCCATGAATTCTCTCATTTTTCTCTAAGCACGTCTTTTAGACTCGAACACAATCTATGTACATAGGCAAAACAGCCCTAAATAATTTTAGTGCAGCGATGAAGTTACAGTGATTACCTCTTTTTTGGCAGAGGGGAAAGAGAGCTAGCTATTGATTATTATATTTGTATACTCTGTTGTATTTATAGTTTATATATATATAAACTTTCAATATTCGTCGTGTTCACTAGGGTAACTTTATCAAATACTAACGGCAATTTTTTTTGCACACCACTGTATATATGATTCTAAATAAAAGTTTTACATAGTGTTTATTATTTCACTCTTTTCCTCTTTTTTTTTAATAGACAGAGATAGTTCTGAAAAGATATGCAATTTTAAATACCTACAGGAATGCCTTAATATTGATTGAAACAAAATCTTGAATTGCTTCTCATATATAGTTTGAGTAGGATTGGAAAAAATAACAGTTATAGATCAGAATTAGAAAGAATAAAAGGAAGTAACTGAAGAATACTATGATGTTAGAAATAGATTTACTATTTTTAACAGCCCATCTTTTTAATAAATATGAAAAAAAAACAAAAAAGCTGTTTGTTTAATTCAAAAAATTATTTCTTTTCTAAGATAATTAAAAATCGATGTACGTGATTTTACATAAGTATATAATAGGTTTATTAACTATTAATAGTTTTAAACAGCTGTAAGATTTTCAAATGCAATAGGATTTTAAATAGCTATAGGCACTTTTAAATAGTGGCATGCTTAATTAAGAAGTATCTCTTTTGAGAAGCTACGCATGTAATTACTTGTATGAAATGCTAGTATAATAAAACTCATAAAAAACAAACTACAGGTCTATGATACGTGTTACAAAACTTTTACAAACCTGTGTCTAAGATCTTGTTGCAGATCTTGATAGAAGAATAATGTGAATGTGTTGATGTTGCAGCAAAAATTTTAAGATCTAAAACGATACATTTTTCTATGACTTTTATAATGATTATGAACTTGCTTTTACGATGTTTTACAAAAAAAACGTATTTCTGGAGGTGGAGACCTTGAAGACACAATAACTAAAATCCTGGAAATTTGATTGTACCCAGAAAAAAGTACTTGACAACAACGTGGGATGCTATTAAATCTATTTCGAGATTATTTTAAAATAGAATGTTGATTTTTCAAATCATTAACTATTCATCAAACACATATGTGTGACATCTGGCTGGCCCATAATCATGCAACTTAATGGGCACAAGCTGTTACGCGATCACATTCGATTTTTTCTTCAACATGTGCTCCCTCTCGCTGTGCCAGATTTATCGAGTACTATAAATCCTCAGATTTGTTTTTCATTTTCAAAACACTTTCCAACTCACCCAAATTGAAGCTGTTGATTCGCAAAAATGGCATTATATGGTCGTTTGCTTTATGCGTGGTTACCAGTGCTGGTATTCTTGTTACAAGCATCTCGCGGTGGATTTGCACAAAGTAAGTTTATAGATTAAATCTTATAGACCTTTGATATTCTGCTGTATAATGAAAATATATGTTGTGATAGCTACACTTCTAGCAGATTGGTTGATCTAGATGATTCAACTTGTTTCCTAAACAAAATAAGAACTGTCGCCCAGTTCTCTTACTTTCGTTATACTTTTGCGACACTTTCATGCCATCTAAGACAACCCGAGTTGATAACATAAAGTTCAACAATCACATTTGTTCATGCAATCCTAAAAATGCTTTCACATTCCTTTTTCTGATGAATTTTTCAACGAAATTCATTTCTGTACGCTTGAGAAAAGAACCAAGCGCATGTTGATACTACTGCTTCTATCTATGATGTTGTCAACTTTTGTAAGTGAAATGTTCTACGATAATTTCGATCTTAGCCATTCCACCCTATTGCCTCATGCCGAATCACATCAATAACATTAAGTTGCAGATTTACGAACGACACTTGTCCAACCCATACCTACAGTAACATGGGTTTTCCTTGATACTTTGATCTTAATGCAACGACAACGGATTTCCTGGCAACCAATATCACTTTCAATCTAGCGAGAATACCTCCTTTAGCGCGATATTCAACATTGCGAAACCAGTCCCACGCAGAGAACCCATTCCATCAAATTTCTGGAATTTCAGGAATTCGGACGAACAGGACCTCTAGGCAATTACACGTAATTCCGACTCTCTCCGAAATTGAGTTATCATCCGTGTCGACTAGCAAAGAACGATACTAGCCATGTCCACATCGACATTCGCACAGATACTGATACGAACACCCTCACAACCACTACTCTCTTTTAGGCTACTACGATGACGACAACCATGGCGGATATGATCCAAATGCTCTTTGTTCAGAAGACCCAACTACATTTGCAATGGTATGCACCTGTAATGCTGGTTATACTAACACTGGTAGCGACGACAACGTTGTCTGCACAGGTATGATGATTTCAGACAAGATTAGACACATTCCCTCGGAATTTCTATCTTTCCAGATAGTTGCACTATCAAAAATGGAGGCTGTGGTCCAGAAGCTGCTTGCACACACGATGCTACGACAAATGCAGTAGAATGCATCCGTAAAACTGGTTATACCAACAGGGGATCGGCATCGGAAGTGAAATGCACAGATACGGGATCGGCATCGGAAAAAAAACGCACAGATACGGGATTTGCATCGGAAGAGATACCCACAGATACGGGATCGGCATCGGGAGATATACGCATAGGTACGGTATCGGTCTCGTAAAAGCAGAAATATTTTCCTGTTGCATTCTTGTGTCGTGCGAAATTTTGTGTTGTATTGCTTTCTTCATCAATTCATCTATGAAATTAATTCTCCTTTTACTCTCATAATGCAAGTTTCTCCTAAGAAACATCAGATTGTCTTTCGCTTCTTAACTACGTTTTTCTTTACATATAGGCACGGACGTCGCCTGTAAGAAAAGTATATTGGTATGAAATAAGGAGAATCAGTTATAGCTGGGAAAGTCGCGGTCTACTATTTTCTCTTTAAAGCAAGTGAAGAAATTTCATAACTTACTTGATGAAATTGGGTATGATTCTGAAAGCTATAATGGTCTGTGATTGAATTTCAGAATTAGTCAAGGTGTTCTTCTACCGATCAGGTTGTTTTCTCCTAAAAAACGGTGTTGGTGATCCGTAAATTAAGAGCTGAAACTAGATGGTATTCGAGTTTCACTCATACACAAAATGCGATGCGAAGCAACAGTCCGTATATCATACGAAAAATCATCAATTGATAGGTATTAAATAGTTTTTGTATAGCCATAATGCAATTCATCACTGAGAAAACTATTCTTACTTGGTGATCTATTCTTAACGGTCGATTTCGATTGATCGATTGATTATCTCCATGATTGGATGTAGGTATAGATTAGCAGAAGAATCACACTCACACTTCAGCGCGATAGAGAGAGATCTCCTTTTATTCTTATGTTTTCTCTTCTAGTTAATATTCCTGCTAATGCTAAATGGTCACAGAACGGAGTGACTATTGCTGGGGGCCACGGGCAAGGGGGTGCCACTAATCAACTCAACTCCCCTATTGGTCTTTTTGTTGATGATGATCAAACAGTGGTTATTGCTGACATGATGAATCATTGTATCATACAATGGAAGAGCGGTGATACAGCAAATGGACAAGTTGTTGCTGGTGGCAATGGCAAAGGGAATGGATTACATCAATTGTATGGTCCAATTGATGTATTAATTGACAAAGAGACGGATAGTCTCATTATTTGCGATAATGGGAATCAACGAGTTGTACGATGGTCTCGCCGTAGTGGCACAACACACGGTGAAGTCCTGATCGATTACATCGCTTGCTATGGATTAGCAATGGATGAACAGAGATATCTCTACGTCTCTCACCACGGAAAACATGAGGTAAGACGATATAAATTTGGTGAGAACATTGGCACTCTCGTGGCTGGTGGTAACGGACAAGGTGCTGGACTCAATCAACTCAACGGACCCACATATCTCTTTGTCGGTCAAGATCATTCAGTCTACGTATCAGACTACTACAATGCTCGTGTAATGAAGTGGAATAAAGGTGCAAAAGAAGGTATTGTGGTCGCTGGGGGACAAGGTGGAGGGAGTGCTCTAACACAATTGTCTGCTCCTTATGAACTCTTCGTTGATACAGTGGGTGCACTCTATGTAGCAGATGCGGGGAATGCTCGTGTAATGCGTTGGACTCAAGGAGCGAAACAAGGCACTGTAGTTGTGGGTGGAAATGGCGTAGGGGCAGGAGCAAATCAGATAGGTGGCCCCTATGGTTTGTTTTTCGATCAACATGGTAATCTCTATGTCACGGATTGGGGCAATCATCGTGTTCAACGATTTTCTATCGAATAAGACTTGTGAAATTGTTTTTTCTTTGTTCACTTCTTTTTCTCTACTTTGAAATGAATGAACAAAAAAAGTAATTTTCCTTTTATCCTTTCACTTCAACGAAAAGAAAAAAACTAAAATATAAAATTACATCACATGTTTCTTTTCTTGTTCTTTTATTTAGTTGTTAAATGAAAAGAAATGAATTAAATAAAAGAATTTGTTTTTTTCACAAAATATTTATTCTTGAAATGAAAAAAAGATTGTATTATTTTTACAAATTTTAGTAGTAAAATGAAAATATATTTTTAGTAAAATAAAAATATTTATTGGAACGATGAAAATATTTATTGTTGAAGTGAAAATATTTATGATTGAAATGGAAAGAAAAATATTTGAGTTATTTGAAAATATTTATTTAAAAAATCAAATAAATTAAACAACACGAATCGAAAATTTATATACCTACATTTGTGTTTGTTTGGATTGAATTGAATTGTTGAATGGAACTAAAACATAAAAATAAGAATTACTTTTATTTGTTTGGAATAAGAAAAGTGAAAGTATTTATATTTACTTTGCTGTTGAAGAAATCGAGATGAGCTAAAACGAAATAAGCAGAAATGAATTGATTGGAATGAAAAATTTTTTTTTTTTGCTTACCAGATAATAGTTGCTCGCGCGACCAAGAACTACCTTGGTGGCGCCATAGAGAGGCGAGCCTCTTCACATACAGACATAGATCTAGCGTGTATAGAACATACAACAAATAGAACTATATAGCGGCCTGCACGTGCTATGGGTACCAAAGTAGCCTTGGCCAGTTGCACGCCGATGTATGGAGGGCCTTTTCCCCCAGTAGGACATAGGAAATATATACGTATATACAAAAAATACTTACCTCGTTTATATTACTAAAATAGAAATAAAAATTTTATTAACTAAAAAGACAATAATAAAAGATTATCATATAAAATTAAAATAATTGGGGTAAAAGGCTCAGACAACGAAAATAAAAATTTAAACAAAAACTATACTTACCCGTGATGTTGATAATGTGAATACAAGTTAAAATAGTTAAAAAATAAAATATATATACATAATATTATAATGAAAGAAGAAGAAGAAAAGGAGGAATGATACTTTACGTTGAAAATTGTAACTATTTATAGACATTTTTTGGTGAATTCAGATGTACAATTGATATTAGCTATCAATTGTATTTTGGATGATCGATCAACGATGTGACTGTGTTACAATTAGTAGTCATCATCGAGCTAAATCAATTATGTTATACAGAAACATATTGACGTACTCGCGACTAATTGATCGTTTGTGTTTCATCTGCACCTGTGCGGAATGAAAGAACGATAAGTATATTCATTTATTTTAGTATGTGAACTTGTTTACACTATGCAAGGTAAAATTTTTCTTTTGAAATTTTTCACATTTATATGCTCGAAAAGAACAAATTTTTGATGATTTTAATGATACATCAACAAGTATTCGATCTATTTCATCAATCCAAATGGTTATCGAAATCCATTACAATGGCAATTTTCTATCATTTTTAGTATCTTCTAACATCATTACCCAGGTCAAATACGTACGGCGGGAAACTGTCTGATCCGGTGATTTTCCATTGAATTCCGGAAGCAGTATTCCAAAAAGTTTTCCGGTCTCCGTTTCCAGAGTATTTCCCGCTAATTCCTGGCTCTGGAAGCCATAAGCGGGGACGGCTTCCGTTTACAGCAGGATTCCGGGCTACTTTTCCGATCGTTTCCTTTCGACGATTGGAAACGAAGAAACATGAATAGTTTTCGATCTAGATACGTAGCCAGAATCTGACCGTTTTCAATCCGGCTATGGAATCCGGATTGCACCGTCCAACCAACCGGATCCGGCGATTAGGAATTATTCGATACTTCTCCTTTCCAATTGAAAAAAAAGTTGTGAACTTCAACGATAAGTAAATATTTCTTATTGGAAGTAGGAATCTGGAGAATCACTGCTTAGAGTTGGATTGAAACTGACTTTTCTAAAAGCATCACAGAACGTCGACTGGGCAACATATTTAGATTGAAATCAGTAAATTAATGAATTTAACTGGATCTTATTGCCGATTCTATCACATAAAATCTTTACTCTACATTGCTAATCTAATTAAGTTTCCTTAATTTGATAACTTAATGTATTAACAATTACTTTTGACATAAACACCCATTAAAATTGGATTAAAACCATGGAATACGAATAGGATGATCACAGTTTAATTGGTCATATTTTCGTATGTGTTTACTCTATCTGATACTAAGATGGGTAACATAGGAGTTAAAATTAAATTTTTATTTTCCACTTTATGTGTGCAGCATTTGAGTATTTTTAAACAATAGCTATCAGCAATTTATAAAACCTAGGGCGAATGACAGCATTTTTTTACATCGAAATAATTGTTCATATCTTTGATATTTGTGGTCTAAATTGATAACAGTTGATAATAGTTTGAGGTAGATCATCATCGAATATAGCTATATGTAGAAGCACAAAACTTGCATAGAAATAGATTAGAAAAAGACTTCTGATTAATTATTGTTCAAAAGGAATCTATAATAAGAAGTAAAAAATCTAAAAATGAAATAATTTCGTGCATCAACATCCTTAAATTGGATCACAACCTATGCAGAAACTTTAAAATAAGCATCAAGTGTAATGAATTATTCTGTGTGTTAATGTTGGAGCTCGTAAGCAACCTGTGTTGATCTGAATCATTTGTAATCAGTTTTGTATTAATAATGGTTCCATCGTGATTCAAGTACATCATTGTTATCGATTGTAGAGTTTGCATTGTTCTCTTATTTTTAATGAACTAGTTAAACGCTACGGACAATTTCATTTGAATATTGCTCGAATACTCACCAATTTTAGTGTAATTTTTCTCTAATATTTTTAACTTTTGAAAGGAAAACAAAATACTCAGTAAAAGCATGCCGAATTAAAATGGAACGAACTGATAAGATATTCAGATCGTATGAAGATAGATTTTCAGCTGCATTGAGATTTAGAATGATTTTAACCTATCTTTTACAAAAACAATATCGACTGATGTGGTATAATCTTTAATAGACTTCGAATTCCAAAAAAACAGTATTAGCAATGTAATCGATTTGTAATTCATTAAAATTAATCGTGATCTTTTCTACTCCTCACTTTACTCAATGCATAATGTTTGACAAATACATGAATTTCATTTTAATTCGAGAAGAACAAACATATATATAGTTTCACTTCCATTCTAAACTGATCTCATAGCAGACATCAATGAATGATAATTTTTTCCGTCGTTTCCTAGGATCCATTAAATCATTATTAAATAACATTTCAGTGGAAGCAATAGAGGTAGCTCCAATCTTTTTTGTCATATTATTCCAAATATAGAACTACTAAAAAGTATTTCGACGTCTGAGTAACAGAGAGCGTAAATTTTGTGAAACTTTTGTGAAGGAGTGGAGCAGGGTTGATAAATTTATTTTTTTGAGCATCTGTCTAAATACGTCCTGTTACGACCTGCTCTCCGGTTAGGTCGTAGAGCCGCCCCATCTACAGTATCTCTTATTATTCTTCCTACATCTCACCTGTTGTTTGATTCGTACTCTCTTAGTGTTCATGATATATCTTTNAGCGCTATGCAAATCACACTGTATGTAACCCATTGTATCTTGACTGAAATATGTTTTTTTTATATATTCAAGCAACATGTTATCGAAAGTGAAAATATCACTCATGAAGTCTCTTAAAGGTACAACGAACTCGAAGCTCTTCAGATGCTTTTGCAATGACACTGAATACTTTCAAGAACTTTCATCAGTATTCTAAAGACTTTTCAGAATTGTGTAAATTTTTTTATAACTTTTCAAGACTTTTTATGATTTGCTTATATATCGTGATATTTCAAGAATATTCCATGTGATATTTCTACTTTTCACTAACAGAAAGTCTCAAAAATAGCTAGACTAATCAGATTACATAACGTGGACTACCCAGGTTGATCAAAACGGACTCGTTTACGATCTGTTTGTCGACGGTAAACGATGTCAAAACGGTATCTTTACGGCAGTAAATAGGCCGTATTTGCCCGTAATACCTGGCGCAGTACTACGGCACCGTAAATGGGACTGAATTTTCATGGNTTGCGTAAAATTTTTGTATCATTTTTCAAGACTTTTTATGATTTCTTTATATATCGTGATATTTCTACCTTTCGCTAACAGAAAGTATCAAAAACAGCTAGACTAATCAGATTACATAACGCGGATTATTCAGAAATAGATATCATTGGTCCTATAAATTGAACAGCACACATCAACATAGCTAGTTTATTCTAGTCGTAACACTTTTAGTAGTAATATGGATCGAAAATCAACTAACATCACAATAAAAGTTCAACTAGCAGTAGCTATGTGTCCAGTCCATCATCATTATGGTATAAATCATTGGCAATGCAGCTGCAAATACTTTACCCGCCTACCAGATGAGTTACATGTGAAAATTGTGAACATCTTTCAAATCAATTTCAAAGAAAGATCTTGCGAAATATTTCAAGAAAGATTGAAAAACTTTGAAATCATTTGGATTGATCTGAGAAAATCTTTATTCTACGCCCACATTCAGAGTAGACTCAGTCATAGGGAAACAAATATGACAAAAGATTCCATAATTAAAACGTCTTATTTGTGTCTCACTCAGAACTTATAAAATCATTCTATAACAGATAAGCAAAATAAACGAAAATCCGTTTTCTTGCGCAGCATTTTAAATTGTTGTCTTACTATTTAGTATTCGTTGACTGCGGACTACTACACTCATATACATGACTTGCTAATTAGGAAATCGGACTCTTCCTTGAAAAAATTAAAATAGTTTTATTAGACGTACTGCTATTGACAAAGATCTTTCCCAATTCATAACTAAAAGAAAAGTAAAAACTCTTAACCCACTTCGCAATTCAAAATATCGACGGTAATGAGGGTTCAACTTGCGCGTTTATCTACGCCCTTTCACAAACAAACAAGGTTCATATATTTATTGCTAAGCACTAGTATATCTTCTTCCTAGCTGACTCTAAATGGAAAAATACATTTGATCGCATACATAGATACCGAAAGACTGAAGTATATGTGATCTCCTTCTAAGAAACATCGGTGATAGATCTTCGATCGAATAATCGATGTGTATATTCAACTGATTACATGCTCACGTAGCAGCTTACCACATGAGCACACTGACGAAAAAACATTTTAAAACAATCTCCTCAATCCTATAGTAACACCTGCTAAAAACAGAGTTCGTAAAATCCAGCGTATTTTTTGTTTCTTCTCCTCTTATACCTTTTACTTGAGGCAATTGAAATTCTTTCTCTATGGGTTTTAGGTGAAAGGTCTTGGGCAATGCACACTAAACTATAAAGTATTGTATCTTTTTGTCGCAGGTTGTAATGCTAGCGATTCGATTATTAAAAAGAGTCACAATTCGAAATACTCAAAAAAATGGTCCCGTTCCGTGTGCACGCTATTCAATCACCGATTTGTTCAGCCGAAAGATCTCTATATAAGCAACTTCACTTAAGATAGAAAACTTATATGTTTTCATACTGATTTTCATCAAGATTATTCCCACTTATCTCTTCAACAATTTGCACTGCCGATTTATGATCTTCGGCGTTCTTTATGGCTAATTAAACATTAATTGCGGTATTTTAAAGTCTTTCTCATTAAGAGAAAGAAAGGATCTCACACGGTAACCACTATGTAAATTCTTGTCGAACATAACTGTTTCAAGCTTAAGTGTTGTAAATTCGATAGTGACAATTTAACGCAGATAAATTCAACTGATTCGTTCTGCTGATTATCAATTCACCATTGTATTTTACACTAACAGCGGCATATATGACACTCCATGAAACACCCGAAATTCACACATTTTCATCCTAATCTTTATTCACCGTTATTTATTCACCAGCAAACAGTAGTCCCAACATATCTACTTCAACATTATATAGATCAAATACACCACTACCACGAATAACAAGGCATAATTATTAACATTTCAAAGGTAAAGTCATTCAAAGCTCTTTCTCGCATAATAACTCTCGATAAAGGTATTTAACGATCTCATTTACGCTGTTTGCAATTAAAACATCTGAAAAATAACTTCTAAGTCAATATCTTCCATTGAAGATATATCAGACTCCTATTCATTGCATTTCATATAAAAGGATCATTAAAGATCCTTCTTCTTCAATGCCGCAAATTTGAGGTTTTTTAAAGTTCTTCTTCCTTCCAATCGATCGCTAAAAATGCTTAAAGACTTTTCCAGTCACTACATTCCATTCCATGTACTTAACAGTCCTGTTTATTCCACTTTGTCTAGAAAGGTCCTTAAAGATCCTTATTGTTCAATAACACTTATTTCAGGTATTTTGAAGTCTAATCCCTCGCCATTCACCAAGGAAGTCCTTTAACGATTCTTCTATTTCCAAAAAAAATCAATAATACTCCAAAAACGTCACACACGAGGGATTGGATGAAAAGGATCTTTAAGGATCTTCTTCGATAAAAGTGAATGAATGTTGATTTCAAATATCTCAAATGGTAGGTAATCGATTTTAAGGACCTTTGAGCGTCTTTCCGCGTTGATTTCGAGGAAGAAGTCTTCGAAATACCTGAAGTCTTCAGTGGTGAGCTCTGGATCGCTTCGGATGTCCTATGGTTGAGTGGATGATAGTGAAGCGGTGCGGCAAGGTATTTGCATTGGCGAAGGTGGCTAATAATTTAGTTAGTTGATGATGCGACTGTCATCATGAGTATGTGTAGTGGTGTCAGGAAATATTCGCGAGATCTCAATAAGATTAGAACTTTCGAAGTTTTCTCAGGTGGAAACGATCGGATTTTGTTATTTCCGTATAGTTTTCCGACAGTATTCCGTGTTATTACCGGGCGGTTCCGGTAATTTTTCCTAATAGTTATGGTGGCGGGAATAGTGCGGAATACTCCGGTTTCAATACGGTGATTTCCAAACGGAATGCTACTTCCAACTTCCGGATAGTTTTCCGGTTCGTTTCCGGTGGGAATGTCGTTAGAAATAACCGGAAGTTGCTGGAAATAACACCGCTTCCCGTCGGTTCCGGACTCCGGAATCATCGACCTGGGTGTAGACACAATTCGAAAATGTCTTATCATCAGACATATACATCTTATTAAACGTTTTGTTAAAGAAAAAACTAAATACATCTGTTCTTTGTTTTTTATCTATGGCTGTAGAAGCAAAAAAATGTCTGAATGAATTTTTTTCTTGTAATATCTTTACTGGTTATCTTTGCGAATACTTCGCACAGCATTCGTTTTGCAAAACGTTTAACTGAAAATGATCTAGGACATTCACGTCATGGTAGAGTCGATAATCCAAATATTCAGTCTGAAAATGATTGTGCTCTTCGAGCCTTTACAATTGAAATGGTTGGATATATTGCTCCTGCATTGTCGAAAACAAATTGGACGGTACTCAGTCAAAAGTGCTTTTCAAATGAATCAATGCAATAACATCTCATATAATACTCAAGAACCATTAAATAGAACTAAATCATTCAAGATCATACAAGAAATGGAAACAACAACTTGCTATCATAGAGTTTTTGTATATGATTCAAACGGAAGCGATCTGTTCGTTGGTACATCCAAACGACCAATGAAAACTATCCAAGCAGTCGTATCTCTTACACGTATCTTGAGAACTAATTACGGCAATGATAAGATATTATGTATCACAATACGTGGAGTAGCCTACTATTTAGGTACAAATACTACTACAACAAGTTGTCGAATTGGTGCAATTACACTAACAACTAATGATAGTAATCTTGTAATTGAAAACTATTAGAATGAACATGTTATATTGAGTGGTGGGGCATTATTAAAATTACAATGGTCTATTCATGTTAATACATAACAAGGCGGTACAATAATGAAAGCTGAAATACCATCATATATCAATCTTGAACAATTCAATGAATTATATATTAATGGTAGAAGAGCGATTGTTGCTAAATATCCATGTGGTGACCTTTCGATACAAGGTTTATATGCAAAAGATCCAGGTTTTTCTTACAACGTAAGTCGATGGCTTCCACCTACTATTAATAAGAGCCCATGTAAATGAATCGGACAACGAATCTTATCGAATCCTATTGGATCCGAATCCCCGACAGAACCCGATAGGATTCCTGGACACGGGCTTATTGTCGGTTCCGACGGAAAAAATCATTTCCTTATTCACGATCAAATAAGCATTTTGAGCCATCAGAGCGCAAGGGTATTTCGTTAGAGTTGGATTCCGTTGAAATCCAACATCGGATCCAATACCAAGGATTCGACTGTGGGTCCGTATCCAGGAATCCCATAAGCTTTCGTCGGTTTATTGAAACACATATGGTATTCGGTATATTCACTGTCTGACCCTTTTCGGAATCCGATAGGATCCTACACTGTAAAAAAAATTCGTAGAATACTAAACCCAAAAAGGGTTGATGAAAGTGCAACGTATAATAAACCCTTTTTTCGTTTTTGAAAATTTTCATAAACCAAGACGTTAACTCGGACAACTTTTTCTTCGTAAGGTTGTAAACAGATCTTGTCAGTAAGTTCGACGTCCACTGAGGCTTGCTCGTTGAAGTGAGCTGTTGTCTTGCACAATCGATGATGCCACACGACCACCTCTTTTTTTCTGGCGTATATTTAAACGTTGTTCTTTGAACACCAGACTATCCACAGGATCATGTCGGCTGTGAGATTTTCTGCCACAAACGCTCTTACATACGTAGGCACATGGTTTATTTTTACAAGCAACGGGGCTATTCCAAGAATTATAAGAGTAGAGTGTCCGTCAGCTAATGTTGTTCTTGTCTCTGTCGGAGTGATGTGACGATGTTTGATGTTGTGTACTATTGTCGCCTTAATAAATGTGGACACATCACCTGTGTCCACCATCGCTTGGAGCTTGCTGCCGTTGACATTGGCTGCGATTATGATGAGTGATTGGTGGAGGTGATCTGAAGGAATAGTACCACCATTCATTCCCCCGAAAGTTTTTTTGAATGATGAGAATGGCAGTCTCGAGCAATGTGTCCGAACGTGCCGCGTTGATAGCAACGGTTACGCCACTCAGATGACTGTTGAGATACCCACTGATTATTGGGTATCGATCTGTTGTCGGCGTAGCTACCCGTGTTGCGTTGATATGGGGGCACGTATCGTGGTTGTTCACCGATCTGTTGGGCTTGTTGCACTAATCTTGCAGTGCGGTCTTCTTCGTCTTGCTCCGCTTTGATTTTAGGGACCAGGCTCTGCTTTGCTTCAATTTGAATGGCGTAGTTCTTTAGCTCCTTGGTGGAGGTGATAGTGTATTTGAGGAATTCTTCGAGTGTGGTATGCCACATTCCTGCTTGAAGCCATTCGAGTTGTTGAGCTTCTGGCATGTGTGTTTCGTACCTTTTGATGAGTTTGATCTTGTCGTGGTAGTAGGCGGTAAGGGGCTCGCTCTTGCCTTGCTTTCGATCTGCCATGTTCTTGACTCAAGGGGAGAACAGCAGAATCCATGAATCCATGAATCCACTGGAATCCACTTGAACCCATTTGAATCCATTTGAATCCACTCTGATATGAAATTCTTAGAATTATAAAAATATGATAGTTTTCCCAAGTAAGCAAAAAATGAAGGAAGATTGCCGACATGACTAGTCAAAAATGCGCGCAGCTTCCGTCCAGTCTAATCTGAAACGTCTTGCATACCCGTCTTGTCTAGTCAGCTTAATGAGTGTCTTATAAACACGTCTATACTAGTCTGAAATGTCCTTGGGCCCAGTCATGTCTAGTCAGTATTGTCTTTTGACCCAGTCCAGACTAGTAAGAAGATTAAAAAAAGAGCTTACACGGTGAATATGAACACCCAGCCCAACAGTGTTCAAAATATGACGGACATTCTGATGGTAGACTAAGACACTGAGATAGATTACCGTAAGTATATATAGTCTAAACTTATATATTGACTCCCATCCATGTAAAGAAAATCAGAAATAAGTCGACTTAAACGGTATTGCTTAGTCTGAAATTTCTTCAACGGTTGTTAGGACTAGTCTAAAGCATCTGCTGGGCACCTCATGGGTAGTCTTTTTTAAGAAGTTTTATTTCACTCAATGCTTATCTAAGTTTTCCTAACTAGAAGGACCAGCAAAAGTCTGGTGTAATCAATAGTGCGGTCATAAAGATGCAAGTTATTCCGGATATCCCTATCGTGATTTATTTTATTTTATTTTGTATAATCATATGTTAAACATTTAAGAGTGTTGTATCGAAACATAAAATAGAAGGAGTTATTACTGAGAAAAATATTCATCTCGTATCAAGGACCCAAGCAGACAAACATTTGGAATAACGCATTTAAACACTCACTAGTGAACTGCGATTGTGAACCATTAACGCTCATTAAAATAACGCAAGAAACGCGTATTTGGCGCAGAATTTTCACTTTCAGACCGTAAAAATGACCATAAACTCCAATTATGAGCGTTTAATCGCAAAATTGTTAAAAAGAATGCGATTAAACGCTCATAATTGAAGTTTATGGTCATTTTTACGGTCTGAAAGTGAAAATTCTGCGCCAAACACGCGTTTCTTGCGTTATTTTAATGAGCGTTAATGGTTCACAATCACGGTTCACTAGTGAGTGTTTAAACGCGTTATTCCAAATGCTTGTCTGCTTGGGGAGTGGTAATTTATATAATTTTTTAACTTGAGATGTACTAAATTGAAAAGAATTGAGAAATATCTAAATCTTTTCATGTAGTAATATTATGTTCGTTTATTTTAAATATCAATTCTAATAATTTACAATAAATCAAAGATGATTTAACTACTAGATGAATATACGGTGACTTAAATTTAAAACTAAACTACCCATGTAACAAAACCGCAAAAATATCGGCGGTTAACCGCGGTTTAATCGGTCAGGTTACCGGCTCGCATCAGTGAAAATTTACCGGTATTTACCGCGGTAAACCGCCGGTTTTGATTAATACCGTGGTTACCGCTAAAAAAATCGGTTAACCGGTTCGTTTATAATCGTTGACAGAAAAAAGTGTTCCAAATCATCAATTAAGCTATTTTGAACATCCTTTTTTTAAATTTTACATGTGATACACATGCGCAAAAAGCGGCCGGTTTACCACGGTTTTACCGGTCCGGTTACTGACTCCATTTACCGCAGGAAGGATAAATACCGCGGTTTACCGCAATAAATGATCCGGTATTCGCAACATGGGTAAAAAATAATATGAAAAAAATTAGTTTCCATTTCATTCAAATATTTTTTAAATTTTATACTCAAATTAATTTTTTTAAAACCCAACTAATTAATCGCACTTGCTTATAAATCAAAATGTATTTGTCGAAAAAATTATAAAATCTTCTTAATTTATTTTTATTTAATGTTATCTAAAGTAATCGTATTTCGGTAAAAGATAATTTTTATTGATACATAAAATTAAAAAATTTGGAGTAAAAATTGTATTAAATAGCATCTTAGAATGATCATGAGTGTCTAGAATATGACTTCTCGATCATACGGCTCAACGGTTCTGGTGATGGATAAGTGTCACATTGTATACATGTTCGGATATAATCTTCATCCTTATATATTACCATTCAGACTAGTTCAGACTCATCCACTATATAAGGCTGCATCTGGTTGTATACTCGTCCCAGACGCCCTTAATTTTTCATTCATAAACCATTTTCAGACGGGCGACAGGGACACTCGTCACGACTACTCTTATTAGATTTTATGACTAATCGTCAATCAAAGTACTAGGACGCGTATGTATGACGGTCTAAAACTCGGAATAGTTGTGGACGAGTATATTTTCAGACATAGACTAGACTGGACGGGTCGGCTTGACTAGAAAAAAGACTAGGCATCAGTCTTTTGTTCACTTGGGGAGACTAATAAAATTTTTATCTAATAGTACAGATACAAACAAAAAAATAGAAGTATCGAATTTTTATAATGGATTTCAGAAAAATAGAAAATCATTTACGAGACTTCATGTTACTCCACTTGAATCCACTTGAATCCAAGGGACTGGATTCTGCTGTTCCCCCTTGCCTTGGCTGCAATTGCCCGAATTGATGCGAATGACGAGCTATGCTCTTCTTCAAAGATCTTTCTGAAACTATACCAATCTTCAAAGTTGCCTTGGTTCTCTCGCCACCACTTCGCCGTTTGTTCATCAAGATAGAGGTAAATTTTCCTCCATCCCGTCGTCATATCGATGTCGACCGCTGCGAACCTAAAGGCTAGATCTTCGAGCTATTCCTTAGCATCCTTTGTCGATTTAGCCGAAAATTTGGCTGCACCTTGCATGGGATGTTGCGTCATAGACATTGGTTGTTCGTTAATCGGCCGGTGGCTTTTCACTGAGTCGTTCTCACTTGTTGGATCGCTGTCCCTGCCCGTTTTAATTTTGTTATCAGCCTGTTCTTTCCTCGCCGCCCGACTTGCTGTTCTATCAGCCCGCTCTTTGATATTTTGTTGTTTTATAACCGTCGACTCCGTTTATGGTTGATTACCGATGAAATATGACGGTGTAGGGTAAAATCGATCGTTTGTATCGTGCTCCCGGTCTGTCGTGAAGTGACGTCGTTTGTTCGTATCGTGAAGTGAGGTGACCCGTATGTATCCTTTGGCGTCCGATATACCTCCGTATCTCTCTGTCTCAAAATGTAGTCTAATCCGCCACAACAAACACTATAGGCAGCTAGTTAGTTAACGCTGGTGCAGTTCAACAATGTCCTCGTAGGGAGCATCACCGATAAGTCTGACCATAGGCAGTATGTGTTTAGCGCTAGTGCTGTGGTAACGATTCAGATTTACACTTCTCGAGCAGTGAAACAGATGTATTATATGACGTAAACGTACCTTATTTGTCTTGACGGTTCCCGATATCAGATGCGTCTACGAATCGTTGCTTGCTTGATCCGATTGTCTCGAAGATGTTGGATTAATAGAGTTCCCGGCTTGTGCACCAATGTGAAGGTTCTTCCTTTCCTTACACTGTATATATATCCAAATAAGTAAAACCCAAAAGTGTCCCTACTACATAACTATCTAGCTATATATAGCGATAGAGAGAACACAGAGAGAAAGAACATAGATCACGAATAAAGATAGTACAAATCAAATAACAAAGGGAGAGAAGATAGATCATGAACATAAAGATAGTACAAACACCTGGATATCTCTCGAACAGAAGAGAGAGAGAGAGAAAAAGAAAGAAAGAGAAAAAAGATATATCATGAACATTAAGAGAGTACGAATCAAACAACAGGTGAGATGTAGGAAGATAATAAGAGATACTGTAGATGGGGCGACTCTACGACCTAACTGGAGAGCAGGTGGTAACATTGTATTTCCAAAAAATATCAATATTTGGTAGCAAAAATTTGAAAATATATACTTCTGTACGTTACTTATCTTGCCTGTGAAGCTCTGAATTTCTTCAGAAATTAATTGAGTCACAAGTAACATGTAGATACCTATACATTTCTAGTAACATTATTAAGGAATTTTAGTTTATATTACTTGTATGTTACCTACATCTTGATTTGGTAAAACTCTCCATCTTAATGGCCCCCTACTAAGAAAACAAGTCCCTTATTTCGCAAACGATATTGAAATTTTTCACAGCTGTAGAGCCCCAATGATAATTACATCGATACGGAGTTTCTAAACTAAACCACTTAGTTTCAATTTTTTTTCCATTTTTTATTGTCCAAAAGTGGGTTTTCCAAAAGGCATAAAGTTGCGGTTGATTTCAAACGATAGAGCAGACATTCCTCTATCGTTTCATGTGCCAGAATTTCCAATTTCGCTTCATTAGCATAGATATATCAAAAATACTGCAGGTATCTGAAATTTTAAAACTGAAAATAATGATAACTCGGGCTAGGAATTGAAATTCAAAATTCTGACACATCATAATATAGCTGATTTAATTGCGTCGGTTTTGATCATCTCATATCTCATACTCACAACCACCCACACCTACACTCCCACACTTTCGCTCATTTGCCTACCCGGGTGCCGTCTCTATCTCCTCCATATCCGGACAACGTAGTGTATGAACGGCATGGAAGTCTGGATACTCAAATGCCACTGATTTATTGGCGTGGTATGTCTTGAGCAAAATAGACAACATTGCTTTGTCGACATCGTAGGGATAGTCAGCATAGTAGCAGGTGAGATTTCGAAATACCGTATTACACATTAAACTAGATTCACTCACTCCTTCACCCACGTCGTCCACATACTGTAAAAAAAAACCGTATAATAATATACCCTTAAAGGGTTTATGATACGTTGCACTTTCATAGACCCTTCAAAGGGTTTATTACTTTTGTTCCATACCCCCAAAAGGGTTTTTTACTTTTACTCCATACCCTCAAAGGGTTTATTACTTTTGTTCCATACTCCAAAAGGGTTTATTACTTTTGTCCTATACCCAAAAAGGGTTTATTACTTTTGTCCCATACCCAAAAAGGGTTTATTACAATTTCCATTCAGACAAGAGCCTTAAAAAACGCGTTAACAATCTTTCAGAAAAAAGAATCCAAAAACAATTGAGTAGACTATGATTTTTTTTCGTTTTTGTTTACAATGCGGATCACAACGTATTTTTTGTAATTTATCGATCCGATTAAAATTTTGGAACTTACTGCGTTATCCTAGGTTCGATCATGAGATGTATTGGTTGATAATCCAAGATGTTATCCATTCGGTCAGTCGTATGATATCAATATGAAGTAAGAAATACTACTTAAATCGAACAAAACTTTATAGGAACCTGAAGATGATATAAAGTTAAGCGGAACAATTGTTATTACATTTTTAATTGTCATAAAAAAATACAAAAAATATTTTGCATTTAAAAAATTATTTCTTTGGAAATAAAAATTATATTTTTACATATTTAAATAAATTAGGAAAAATTTGTTTTTGAAGTATATTTCCTCAAAAAGAATTTTAAAAAGATTTAAAAACGTTTTGCTTCATTTTTTAAAAAATTTTCTAACATATTTCTTATTTTTCTGGAAATCTGTAACGTATATTGTGACGTTCTATGATGACAGTGTTCATACATCACTCTTTATCTTCTGACTTTTCCTCTTCAACATATATCTTGTGGTTCATGTGTTCATAACTAAGATTAACTTATTGCGTATTCTGTTGACCGGAACACGTATATCATCTTCCATGATTATCTTTCTTTGGTTATGTCTATCTTTTCCTTCTCTTTCTCTCTCTCTCTCCTGTCTGAGTATATAAACGCGTGTTGTGGATGTAAACGATGCGATTTGTGATATGAAGAAGCTAAATAAAGCGTAGTTCCATCAGCGCAGCATTTCTTGTATCTAAAATCGTCACATATATATTTCTCTTAATTTTATAAAATTGTTGATCTATTTTAAAAACCTTTATAAGTATAAGTTTAGCTCGAAATGATTCAAAATTTATTAGAGAAATTAGCGCCTCTTTATCATACGGTTATTTTTTACGAAACAGGCATGAAATGAAAAGTGTATCGATGCATGAAGGGCAGCATTGTGAGAAAATGATTGGATTAATATGTTTATTATATTAAATTGTTTGAAGTGTCCTGTGAGAAATTTTCATGGTATATATATATATCAGTTGAAAAAGTGTAATCCTTTGAACGAAGAGTAAAAAACCCTTTTGATGATGGAGTAGAACAATAAATCCCTCACCGTAGAATAAAATACCCTTTTTAAGTAAGTAATAAACCCTTTTCTCGAGACCGTAGAATAAAATACCCTTAGTATGAAAGTAATCAACCCTTTTATTAAAACCGTATAATAAAATACCCTTTGTAAGAAAGTAATAAACCCTTTTCTCGAGACCGCAGAATAAAATACCCTTAGTATGAAAGTAATAAACCCTTTTATTAAAACCGTATAATAAAATACCCTTTGTAAGAAAGTAATAAACCTTTTTCTCGAGACCGTAGAATAAAATACCCTTAGTACGAAAGTAATAAACCCTTCCATTGAATCCGCATATTAAAATACCCTTGAAGATAAAATCATATACCCTTCTCCTTAAATCTCAGATTAATAAACCCTTTTTCTTCTTGTATCATCTTTTTTTCAAATACTCTTCGTTTCATAAACCCTTTAAGGGTTTATGGCGTTGTCATAAACCCCTCATGGGTTTAGCATGATTTGTAGAAAGGACAAGGGTTTATTATTCTACTCTTTTTTTTACAGTGTGGGTGTGGGTGTCGGGTGTGGGGTGTGGGGTGTGGGTGCGGGTGTAGGTAAGAGCAAGATTGACATCACACCCACACCCACACCAACAATTTTTGCTTTTGAGAAGAAATCGACAATTTCAAGTTCATGTGTCATTGGGAAAAAAATGACTTTATGTTATTTTTCGTTCTTCTGTTGAGGAAAAAACATAAAGGGCATGCGTGTGTTGATGTTAACAAATGAGCAAATTTTGTTCTTTTAAAGTTGAGTTTTTGGTAATCAGTCTATTTTAAATTTTGTTTATATTCATAAGAATAATGATGGATGTTCTTATTTTTTAATTTTGTCTCTACCTGCATCCATATCGAGGATGTATCTTCAACAACATTGAATAGAGTGTGCGCATCGATATGTGGTATCGAAGTATTTTCAAGAGAGGACTTAAAAGCACGTTCATAAAGCAAAACCGAAAGAAACAGCAGTTAAGCACATGTAAAAGGCTTAGATTTGAATCTGATTTCTACTCAAGATAATGATTATAATTAAGATTAAGATTAAGAGGTTTCACCAATGGTAGTCATGATTTTGATTACAAATATAATTATAACAGTGTCATTATAATTGATGGGGTGTGGGTGCCGGTTTCGATGTTTTGTTCTGGATTTATGCACTTCCAATGCCCATAGCTTTGGTCATGAAGATTTTCGATGAAATATGTTTACATTGATCCTTGTATGACATCGAATATTTTTGAGCCGTTCCTTTTTTCTACGTCTTCGTTTAGGTGTCCAAACAATGAAAACATATCCACTTTCGTTCGTTTGGGTAAGATAGAACTAGCTCTCGTGGAATCATTGTGTTTATTGTAGAAAATATAGGCATTAATAAACAATCAGCGACCTATCAGAACATCATTTCTCGCTCCGAATGAACAGCCGATGCGGGCTCAAATACGAAGAAGACGAGCAAAATATTTAGCAAAAGTTAACGATGAGACAAAGCTTAAGGTTCTATTTAAGATATTTTACGCTTTAAAACATTAATACATTTCGACTGACAGATTCATCCGAACTAATTCTTAACAAAAATCAGCTACTTAAAAATATCTGCATCTTTTTCATGCCCTAGGCACATTGTAAAGCAGAAAGAGGCATTTTGTGTAGAGATCACTTTCTGTTGCTATCTGCTATGGAAGACTGCTATGCAAAGTTGCGACAAAAAAATAATAAGTGATTTTTATTCTTTCAGCGAGGAAGCGAAATTGAATTCTGGGTTTCCTTTAAATCCATTTAAAAGGTTTCAACAAGATGAAAAATGAAGTCAAGAGGAAAAGCAGTATTGCAACCATATGTTCTTTCCTCCGAGTCGACACTCTGCATTGTGCATGTGAAATGAACACAATTGTGATCACAGACGAAACAGCCACCTAGCCTTATTTCAGGTGAGTGTATATGTGAATGAATTGAAAATCCCCACGCCCACACCCACGCCCACACCCACACCCACACCCACACCCACACACCCTCCAGGGGGTATATTGGCAAAAGCACAATAGACCTTTGAAAATCGCGAAAGTCCTATTGGCGAAGTTCCGGAAACCTAATTTTTTTCGCACCTCGTCATGTGTACACGAAATAAAGAAAAAACAATTCAGCGATGGAAGCAATTCGGTCTCTTTTCGTTTGTTGTGCAAACTAAACGAAAAGAAGACAAAGTACAGTTTTTTTCTCCAAGATTGCTAAGATTGGAACTTAAGATTAGTAATTATCTAAATACCGGTACAAATGAATGTTGCGCATATGTTTTGTAATGGGTGTAATTAAATTCCGTATACTTCGAGCGCTTATAAATTCATCACGGAAAAACAAACTACTCGAAATCCGAAATATTGAAACAAACATCTTGAACCTACGACCCTTTTAGCATATTCTTGGCGATGCTAAAGTGAGGCTTCAGTGATAATATGTGCATTTGATGGAACTTGGTGAGATCTATGAGAAGAAGTATGTCTTGGTGTTAAATAGCACTATTTAACAAATAGCGAAGGCTTCCATTGAAAAAAATGAATTAGAGACTAATTAGCAATTCTATGGGTCATTAGATGCACCGACAAGCCTCACAAGAGGTCTATCGGATAGAGCTCGTCGAGATCTACCTGGAGAGGTGTGTCTCCAGGTCGGAGCACACCGTGGAGCAAATCGAGACAGGTTTTACAGATTTTCAGGTAATTTTTGCAGTTCTTTTTAAAGTATTTTCAGTTTTTTGCGGGCTGAGAGGGCCCTTTCGAAAAGCAAACGTGTCCATCAGATAGAGATCGCCAAGATTTACTTGAAGAGCATTGCTACGTGAATTCATTTAGGAAAAAATCGAATCCTGTCATAAGATATCCTGCGTTGATTTCACTTGATTTACGGTGAGTTTAAAGTGATTTAGGGTGATTTAAGATGCGTTAAGGTGATTTTTTTGAGTTAGAATGAGTTTTTGATTGATTTTTGATTTTTAACTCAGTTAAATCAGCTTTTTCCTCCTTGGTTGTGGGCATTGGGAAAGGTCGTGTGTTGAGATGTTTTGTTTAATATTTTTTTCCTTATTCTAGACAAGTAGATGCTTAAAATCTATTAGTGCAATGAGTATCAAGTTCTTTTTTGCTCTTATCAATAATTCGAATGTTCGGGTTCCAGTGGAATTAGAGGAAAACTTTAGGCTGGATGATTTCCGTAGATTAGTTGATCGACTCGTCTTTCAAGGTTGCACTAGAGTTCATAGGTTCGTTGTCGGTGGTAGAGTAGTACGCACAGAGAACGAAGCAGAATTCAATCGAAGCAAATTCATGATTACATCCGGTTGCAATATCATGTTGTGTAAACGGTACGTGAAATACTGTCTTTCGTCGGATACACCAACTCAAATGGCCGATTTGTCAACGACTCCAATTAGTGAAGTGCAAGTAGGTGATGCTATATTAGCATTGACTCCATCCGGGGAAATTGTGCAAACCGTTGTACGGAAAGTTATTACTCATGAAGTGGGTGATTATTTGACCTTTACGTTTTCGAACGGTATTATACTACGCGTGGGACCAGACATACCCCCTACCTTCGTCGGTCTTAATACATTCAATAACGTTCCTATGAATGTTGGTAATCAAGTCTCTGTTATTTCTGGTGATGGCAGTAATATGAGCACCGTAAAAATTACTGATATTAAAGCAGTGAAAGGCGTCTACACGATTATGCAGAGGCTAAATGTTGACACACCTCACACCTATTTTGCCGGTAGAGTTGCGGTACACAATAAATTTTACATGGGATCCGGCGTTTTTGGCGTTAGTAATGACGACAATCTTCAGCAGCTCAAATTGAGTGAGCCAACTCGTCGCTGGAGAATAGTATATCCTGGTCTGTTTTTTGAAGCAAAATGTACCAATGATGAATGTGTAGCATATGATCAAGAAGTCATCGTCAATATTGGTTTGAAAAGGTTTGATTTTTTGGTTGATGTTGATAAAATAACCTGCCAATGCCCTTGCTGCTCAGACTGGGTTAATCCACACATAGCAAAATGTGCCTTCAATCGTTGTGAGTGGCGTTACAGCGGAAAAAAACAGATGGGAGAACAAGCTCCAGAAGAAGTTTTCTCTTCATGGAACGAAGTAGACGACACGTCATTGCGTTTTCATGAACAAAACAGCTTAAGCGGCATTTGGAAGCAGCTGATACTGGAAGCAAGAGAGTGTAATGATTAGATGAACTATATTACGAGTAGGCAAAATGTAGACATCTAAATTTTTGTTAATCATGTGATAATTTGTCCGGTGTGTGGTATCATAAATGAAAAGGGTCTTTTTGAAAACAGCTAAATCGAGCCATTTGCGACTCGAGAAAATTTTTGATGACTTGTACATATCTTCGGTGCTATGTCAATTCGTCGCGTGTTTCTTTTAATTGTTTGTTTGTAACTGCGTTTCATTTTTTCAGAAAAAAATTAATTAATTTTCAAGAAAGCTCCCATCTATATTTCTTATTAATAATTTCTACTGAATTATAAAGGATTTGATTCTTTTTTGCTCTCCATGAGATTAGCAGGCTTAAAAAATCATGCATTGATTAGATCTCGAAAATAAAGCCAAACACTGTTTAAATAAGAGCTGATTAAGAATCAGCTAATTAATTCTGAATTGTATATAAACAAGACTCGCTTGAAAAAGGCACTACTCATCAATTCATCAATTTGCAACTCAACTCACTAAATGTCTTCTATTCAAAAGCAACCATCAGAAAAGGAAAAATCTATGGTTAGTTATCTGGGTTGTTCCATGTCGCACATTTCTTGCCACTACCGCCGGTATACCGCGGTACGCAGAATAGCCGGCTGTGTACCGGCAGTTTACAAGTGGTAGCGCTTATAAGCTCCGGTCCCAGCTAAAATGGTTTCCAGAAACCGTTTCTTAGTCAAATCCCGATTTATTTCGGAAAACTAATTCGAATTAATCGAAAACACAACTATTTCAGAAAATATTTTGCGAATGATTATTTTTACAGCGACACCTTTAGTAAAATATTTATCTCATAAGGGAGCGTATCAAAATGTTTGCCGTCCGGCCGGCCGCTTAGTCGCTCAGCCGATCAACCGCTTTGCCGCTCTGCCGTTCGGTCGCTCTGCCGTTCACACGCCGCTCTGCCGCGGCATAAACAATTTTTTTTAATTACATTTTCACATATTGTATCTTTCTGTCGATCTATGTATACGATATATGTTGCTCTTTCTCTATTCGATATTCTTTAACCACATACTATTCATTTTGTCCGAAAACGACGAGTTTTTTTTCAAAATCGATTGATATTTACAATTGAACTCATAAATATGAAATTAAAAAATGTTATTTTTATTTATATATAAAGATATACAAATTATTTATTACAACAAATCTAATTATTATTAATATTTTTATTGAATTTTGTTCTTATTCGACTACATTTCTTATTGAGAATTTCTTTATATTGATTACTTGTACGAAATTTTGCATATCTTGCTCCATATAAGTCAAATAAGTGTTTATCAATGGCAGCTACTCTTACAAGATCAAATACTTTTGTGCCACGGACAGAGGCATCAACAGATGAAACTTTTAATTCTCCTTCTGTAAATAATGTTGAATAAAGATAGGCCAAAATATGGCGGAATCCTGTTTCTTTGTTTAATAATTCTTGATTAGTTGCTGCTTGTTGTCTATCATGGTTATCTTTCATAACTTGAAACGTTGTTTGGGTAATTGGATCAGTAAGAAGTATCTGACATCCCTAAAAAAGAACGTTTCAGATAAAAGATACAAAATCCTGATAAATAGCTCTTTATAGTGTACATTTACATTTGACGATGTAGTTGATGAAAATAAATTCGTAGACATACTGGTTGAATTCAGACTATCAGCTTTTTGTCTTTTCCATACACGATTCTAAATGATATAAGAATTTCCTGGACTAAAGGTACTTGAGAAAGAAAGACATTTAACATACCACACTAGTTGGAGTTGATATAAATGATTCATCACTATCTACACTCATACCACATGCCCGTTTCGGTGTAACGCTCGGAGAAGGTTCAGAATCATAATGTGAGTATAATAAGTCATTGCCAGACGATATGATTTCAGTTGGTGTTGCTGGTTCTGATACCGATGCAATTGTGCTATTTGTTTGTTGTAATAATGTTAGTGTAAAATTATCTGTGATTGTGCTATGCGTTGTATCTGTACCAAAAGGAACCGAACCAACCTAAAAACAAGTTATACGATAAAACTTAAAAGACTGAGTGACCAAAACAGAATATCAGTATTTTATGACTTTTTTCTAGAAACATATTTTTGGAAATTCTGTTGTCTAATTCGATTTTTCTTTCTTTTTGATGTCTTTTTCCTTCTGAACGCATACATAGATAGATGCGGAAGTTGAAAGAGTGACGAAACAAGAAATTTCATATCTATTAAAACATGGCGGTGAACTGTCTTTAGAGAAGTAATCAAATCAATTAGACAACAAACTGAAGATCGATATATATATATATATATATAAACTATATTATAAAATGAAATCTTCTATAATTCAAGAGTACTCGGGAAATAGCAGAATACAGATGGATCTACCGGATTATATTCTGAAATGCTTCCTTGATATTCCTTTTTTCTTTAATTCAAAAAGCTATTGTTTACTTACAACTTTTTCTTTGATTTGATCTGATGCATGTTGAATTGCACTTTCAAAGGATAACGCTCTTTGTTCAATTAATTCTAAAATTTTTGTGCTACAATTTTCTGTGTTGATAATACTGGATGATTTATCAACATTATCCTTCTGTAATTCACATACTGTTATATCAATTGTTGTTTGTTTATTTACTAATATATCAACAGTTTTCTTGAGAGTATTAATTGAAGTTTCCATTTTATCAAATTTTGTTAATAATGAATCCAGTTTCTCATTTACAATTGATAATATCTTTATTTTATTATTATTTTGCTCTTTAAACTCAGATTCATCACTACTTTCAGCAATTTCTGGCGATGCTTCGCGTACACGTTTAGCTTTAGACATTATTAAAGTTAAATAGATAACAACAAAATGTATGATACGTATGATTTTTTTGAAATGAAGATATACAGTAGTTATTTTTTCTCCACCTAAAAATAGTTTAATCTTCAAATCTAAATAAGCTTATTTGTTGAATTGTTTAGATGACCCATGGAAAAATATTCCTCATAATGAACGTGAAAGAACGCGTTTTCGAAAAAATTGAACGTATTTTATCGACTAACAACGCGTTCTAAGAACAAATTAACGCGTTCAGACGCGTTTCGCAAAATTGTGAACGCGTTCGAACGCATACTTGTTGGTAAGCAACGTGTTTTTATTATATTGAACGCATTAATAGTGGAA